AGAGAATAGAAGGGGGCAAATTGGAGAGATTTGTTTAGCAAATCTAAAAAATATTAATCTTAGCCAATCACTGCCAAGACAAAAGTGGTCCCAAATTCTCACCATCAAAAGAACAAATAAAAAAAAAACCCTTTCATAGTCATCAAATATGAACTCTTGGGTCATCCCAATTACATCCCAAGCACCTAAAAAGTTTGTGTATTTTTTTCAAGAAAAAAAAATTTAAATGATCAATGTCAAACTTGCAAAAAAGATGTTAACATAAGATATTTTCCCATTAGGGATTAGGGATTGGTATTCAATTTTATTTTAAAAAAAAAAAAAGAAAGAAGAAATTGAAATCCTAACATAGAGATGGAGATGCTTTGATTTGTTTTATTTTATTTTGTTTTGATTTGGGCTTTCCAACTCAAAATCTTTGGACCCACTTTATTATTTTTTTTATTATTAAAAGTTTAAAAAAAAAAAAAAAAAGGCACAAGTGTAAGACATAAAAAATTAATGATTGTTGGATTCAAGTGATAAAAATAATATTTTTTAGTTGTTTGTGTTTGTTTTATTAGAAAAGTTATGAAAAGTTAATTTTTTTTATAAATTTATTTGAATTGATTTAAAAATATACTGCATAAAATCTAAAATTGTAAAAAAAAAAAAATTTGTGGGGATAAAAGTTAGCCTAACTGCTCTTAATGGATGTTGCATAAAAATGCCAATGAACATCCTAATTAAATATGTGGATTCGCTTTTAATATCATTTGTTCATTTGAGTTTAAATAATTAAATTATCGAAATATCTAATTACGTATAAATATTTTATTCTTTTAAATTTGTTTATAAAATTTAAAACATTTACCATTTAGTGCATAAAAAAATAAATATTTTTAAATTATCATCTGTTAAAAAGAAAGCAAGTTATGATAAATATAAATTATTTTATTGAAGAGTCAAACAATACCACTCCCAACAAGCGATATGAATATAACAAATAATAAATTTATAAACTTATTTCGCTAATTAAATTATCAAACATTGAGATAGACAATCATTAACATTTCTCTCATGAAAAAAAAAAAATCAAGGAGAAGCTTACAAGAAATTGGACTACAAAAATGTTATTTCCCATTAACAAGAGTCATGGGTTTTTTTTTTTTAAAATAAAAGTGATCTTGAAGATAAAAAAATTATCAATATTAGAATTTAAATTTTAAATTTGTTATGTTATTTTTAAAGATAATTTGAAAATTACACATTTATATAAGCTTTTCTTCTAAAATAATCAAAAGTACATTATTGTATTCTTATATAAATCTATTTTATTTATTTATTATTAAAATTTATCTAACTTAAGTTTTTCCATATGCTAAAAAGGTTCAGCTTTCAATCTAAATATGATAATTTAAAATATAATATAATAATATAATATAAATATGATATAAAAAATATGAATTATATCAGCATAAATTATAATATATAATTTTTATGTAAAATATAATATAAATATATGAATTTTAATATTTTATATGATATAATTACATAATTTACTTTAACCTCAATTTTTGTTATTGTCCAATTTTTTTTCTTGGGGGAGGGGGGTGTTAGAGAAAAAGTTAAAATTAGAATTCAACTATTTTTATAAGTTGTCACTTCATTGATTGAAAGGCAAATAAATACTAAAATTTTATTTTGAAGAAGACATGAATGTCTTATTAGGGAATTTTATTAGGAATGTCAATTTTACTTTTATCTAACAAGAAATTTTGATTTTTTATTTGAAAAGAGATGAAAATGGATATTATATTATGTAATAAGAATGTATATGATTTTAAATTTTTATTGAGTATAAAAATATAAGTAATATAATACACATCTCGTATCTATACCATATATATTTATATATTTAGTAAATAGATTTTTATTAAATAATATAAATATTCTTATTTTAGATTAATTAAAATTAATATATTTTATTAAAAATATATATTAATATATATATTTATAGAAAATTATCTAAATATGCAAGATAAAATTTAAAAAATTAAAAAAATTAAATTTTAGTTTTAGTTTTTTTAAATAACTATGGGTATAGGGATTACTCATACTCATTAAATACTCGTAGGAATAGAGATGAAAATAAATTTAAATACTTGTTAGATATAGGTACGAGAATGGACATAATATAAAACTTTAATGATGCAGATGAAAAATACTTTACTTTATCCATTGACATCTTTATGTCTTATTAAGTTTTAATTTCCTGAACTCGTTTGTAATCAAGAAATTTTGATGTAATTTAGAATTATAATAACAATATTTTAACTTAAAAAATAAATAATTTTAATTTAAAATATTTTAATTAAAATATTTTAATTTTTTTATATAAAAGAGATCTCAATGTGAGAATAAAAAAATTATAGGTACTTATATTTGAATTTTATATATACTTTGATGCTAATTTTTAATGATAATTACATGAATTAAATGAGTTAAACTCTGAATTTTAAATAAATTTAAATTTTTATTAATAATTTTGATTTCAATAAGAATTTTACAATTTTAATCAAGTTATTCCATGATAATTCTCACAATCCATAAAATCATAATACTTTGTTATTTCAACTTGAAAACCTCAAATTTAAGATTTGAGACCAACAAAATAAAATTAATTTAAAAAATTTATGTTTTCTTTTGACAAAAAAAAAAGCTATGTTTTCATGAATACCAAATTATATGTATTAAAAAAATGAAATACTACAACTTTTTAGTAAGCAAATTAAAGGAATTGCTGGTATAATAGCAGTTGGGCAAATATTATATCTATTGAAACTTTCTTTATATTGTTAGATTTATGACTTAAAGCCAAGTTCAGATATTCTCTTAACCCAATGCTTTTCTTTTTGCATGGGATCATGTTTTTCAAAAGCAAAGCTTTTCACTTTTTTATTTTTAAATCTTTTTTTTTAAATCATAATTTAAAAATAAAAAAATTATAGGCACTGATTGAACTAAGTCATGACCTCCATTGTTTACATATTAATTTCCCCTCTTGAATTTGTTTTGCAGTTTTCTTTTTTCTAATTCACTTTTCAATCATATAAAAGTTTTTTATTTTTTATTTTTTCATTTCAAGAGAATCTTACATCAAGGAGGAGGGGGGAGGCTGGCCCTATGTCTTTTTATTATTCTTTTCACAACTTATCCCAAGATCCAATGCTAGATTTGATGTCTCCAATTGTTTTTCCTCTATGATTTACAAAAGCCAAAAGAAAAAAAGAAAAAAGATAGAAGGGGGCAAATTTGAGAGATTTAGGTTTTATTTGGATTAATGATGTGATTTGATTGCGATAAGATTAAAAATAATAATAATTATTATTATAATTGTGATTGAAAAATAAAATTACTTTAATTGTTATTAAAAAATTTTTAACAAAACTTTTATATCGAATGAAACTTATTAAAATTAATATTTATATTTAATTGATGATACGATAAATTTAATCATATTATATAAAAATGCGATTGAATTCAAATGATCATTTAATAACTCTAAAAAATTAGTAATATTAATATTAGCTAATCACTGCCAAGACAAGAGTGATCCCAAAGATCTATCATCAAAACAACAAATTAAAAAAAAAAAAACACCTTCCATAATCATCAAATATGAACTCCTGAGTCATCCCATTTCCAACCCAACACCTAAAAAAGTTTATGTATTTTTTTCAAGAAAAAAATTTTAAATGATCAATGTCACACTTGCCAAAAAGATGATAACATAAGATATTTTTCCATTAGGATTAGGGATTGGTATTAAAATTTATAAAAAAAAAAAAAAAGGAAATTGAACTCCTATCATGGAGATGCTTTATTTTGTTTTGATTTTGGCTTTCCAACTCAAATTCTTTGGACCCACTTAATTATTATTATTACTATTAAATGTAAAAAAAAAAAAAGCAAAAGTGTAATAAATGAGAAGTGAAAAAAGCACAAGAAAGAAGACATAAAAATTAATGATTGTTGGATTCAAGTGATAAAAATAATTTTTTTTTTAGTTGTTTGTGTTTGTTTTATTGGAAAAGTTATGAAAAGTTAATTTTTTTATAAATTTATTTGAATTGATTTAAAATTATATTGCACAAAATATAAAAATTAAAAAAAAAATTTGTGGGGATAAACGTTAGAAATCAAAACCTTATTCAATGAAATGAATTCTCTCTTTTTCTTTTTGGGATTTTCTCTCTCTTTCACATGTTCTCATTAGGGGTCTCCTTTCCTTTTGTAGGATGAAATCCCCCCCATCCCTACTCTTACGTAACAAAAAATTCCAAAGCCCAATCCTACAATTATTATTCTTCTTCAATTCTCAACCATAATCATATGAAAATAAAATTAAAAAAGAAACCTAAATTTATATTTATATAAACAAAAATATACTTTTTATTAATATAAATTACAATTAAATTTCATATTAAAATTATTAAAATATTGTAAATTTAATAGATTTAAAATTTAAAATTTTTTATAAGAAAATAGACCAATATTTCATAATTTTCAAAGACAAAAACCTAATTTAGTCAACAACAACCCAACAATTATGATTAAACATAAGCAAAAACATCACAAATCTTTCAAATTTAAAATAAAAAATTAAAGTGTTCCACATACAAACCACTCAAAACAAATATAAATATAAAAATTCTTTATTTTTACTATTTTTTTTAAAAATATTTTATTTCTTTTATTGCAAAAAAAAAAAAAAAGTGATTCCACTTGTTGTAAAATGACAGCCAACTTTCTGCCCATATTTGAACTCATTTTGTCAAATACAAACACAGAATCATACAAACTTCATTAAAACAGAGTTGACAAACAAAAATTTTTACACAGACAGAAACAAGAACGAAGAATATAAACTCCCCGACAAAACAGGGTGCTAACATTTTATTTTATTTTTCATTAATTCCCCCAAAATTTTTCATGCAAAAAAGATATCATCAAAGTTTTTTTTTTTTTTTTTCATGTCAATCTTTCCGTTGATTTCGTTAGTTTCAGAGTGGTTTGTTTGACAGCCACATTAAAATCTTTTCTTTCTCCATTCATTATCTTCCGCAATTGTCGCTTCCAAAAAAATGCATATGAATACAAAATTTTGAAAAAAAAAAAATTGTATCTTTGGTTGTTCATTGTATAAAAAGGCTTCATTTTTTGCTCTCTCTTTTTTCTTTCTGTTTAAGGAAGAAAGAAGAGAGAGAAGCTGAAAGCCTGAAACTCATTTTGCAACTCACCTCCTCCACTGTTTGTTGATTCTTTTTTCGCGTTGTGTTGGCGCCAAAAAAGGAAACCCAGAAAGAAAGTTGAAATCTTTGATTATTGATCACATGATCAACGGCCATTAATGGGTTGTGTGAGTTCCAAGCAGGCTGTTTCGGTGACGCCTGCTTTCGACAACTCCGGCGCTTTACGTGACAATGCGGGTGCAAGTAGTGCCGGGACCAATTCGGGTCGGTCTCGGGTCGGGTTCTCGGAGCGTGAGAAGAATAGGAGCAGCGGCGGTGGCGGTAGCAAGAAGAAAAAAAAGAATAGTAATAGTGGGGGTGTGAGTGATTTGGGTAGTGGGTTGGGAATGAGTGGGAGCGAGTTGGGTGAGTCGGGTCAGGCGAGTTGGAGATCGGACTCGTTGAGTTTGAGGTTGGGGAATTTACAAAAGTATTTAGAAGGTGAACACGTGGCAGCCGGGTGGCCTGCTTGGCTTAGTGCCGTCGCCGGTGAAGCTATCCAGGGTTGGGTTCCACTCAAGGCTGACTCTTATGAGAAGCTTGAGAAGGTTTGGATTTTCCTTTTTCTTTCATGTTTTCCGATAAATTTTTTTTTTTTTTTTTTTATCATTTTCTTGATGTGTGTAGTTTCATTGAGAGCATTGTGTTTGTTGGGTAATGGGGATTTTGTTTGTTCTTTTATATTCTTTTGTGAAGAATGGAGATAAATGGAAGAACTCAACATTTTCTTTCACGTTTTCTTACTGTTTTTTTTTTTTTTTCTAGCGTTTTTTATGTTTTCGTTATGAATTTATTCAAGTGTAAACTTTCATTCCTTACAAACAATTTTTGCTTTTATATACCCTTTAGAAATTAAGAAGAGCTGTAAAAATTTACAGCAATTTGTATATGCATTTGGTTGGCATGAATTTATTTACTGTTGGTAATAGACAATAGATAATTTTTTTTAAATTGTATGCTATGCAGGCAGAGGATTGCTTGTTAATCATGCATGTTACATGCACATATTTTGAGTCGCTTTTAATTATAACCAGCAATTCGTATATTTGTGTTATATTTGTTTTGTATTGAATCTTTGTAAAACAGAAAAATTGCCATTTCAAATTCTTATTTGGTTTTTGCCTAATCCATAGATTTTATCAAAATTTTAAACCTTGACACTTTTGGGTCTTTTTTCTTATTATTTCATGTCGTTCAACCATCTCATGTTTAAAATTGGTAAAGTCTACTTTTAACCATTCAGATTTAGAAGCTCTTTGAATTGTTTGGACGACTATTGGTGCATAGTTGTTCTGTTAACCTTTCAATTACATGTGAAGCTTCTTTTGCTATAGAATTCACAATATTAACTTGAACCTTGTTCTTCTAAGAGCAGCTTTTATTTTCAAATTTTGGCTGATAACTGTTGTTTTCTTAAATCTAGTTACTACTGGGGATGTGATTATTTATTTTTTGGCTTGTGATTTCTATTATTTCTTTAACCGTTTTCTATCAACATTGTCTTGGAATGCCATATTGTTCCTGATATTTGATGTAATAATCTTGTACCATGTCAACTGCTTTAACAGATAGGACAAGGTACGTATAGCACTGTGTTCCGGGCTCGAGATCTTGAGAGTAAAAAGATAGTTGCTCTAAAGAAGGTGCGGTTTGACAATTTTGAGCCTGAGAGCATTCGATTCATGGCAAGGGAGATATTGATTCTTCGAAGGCTTGACCATCCAAACATCATAAAATTGGATGGAATAATTACTTCCCAAATGTCTTGTAGCATATACCTTGTGTTTGAGTACATGGAACATGATATCACTGGACTTTTGTCTTGTCCTGACATCAAGTTCAGCGAGTCACAGGTTTGTTCACTTTGCCTTTGTGATGGCATTGGAGTACCAAAACCTAAATTTGTTTTCCCAAACCCGAAGATGAATGCATTATAATGCTGAGAAAAACTGGTGAAATATTCACATGCCTTAATAAAATAGAAAAATGCATCTTTAACAATGAAAATTGATTTTGTTTTGTAGATTAAATGCTATGTGAAGCAGTTGTTATCTGGACTTGATCACTGCCATTCACGGGGTATAATGCATCGGGACATTAAAGGATCAAATCTCCTTGTAAATAATGAAGGAATCCTAAAGATGGCCGATTTTGGTTTGGCAAACTTCTATGGTTCTGGGCACAGGCAACCGTTAACAAGTCGTGTCGTAACCTTATGGTACCGTCCCCCTGAACTTTTGTTGGGCTCTACAGATTATACTGCAGCTGTGGATCTTTGGAGTGTTGGCTGCGTATTTGCTGAGCTTCTCCTTGGGAAACCTATCCTGCAAGGAAGAACAGAGGTAAACACCTTGCTAAAGTATGTACCTTTTACATTATATTCATCTTAGTAATTTTAAAATCGACAAATACTATTTATGTATATTTTAAAAAGAAAACAAAAGGTCAGTTTCATTGGAAACTGACATGAGCTGGTGTACAATAATTGATAACTCATAATAAGGAAAAGGATCAATTGCAAGAGCAGAACAATTTTCACGGTGCATAGGAAATTTTACTAGGAATCAACATTGCTGCCAAAAGGAGTCTCTGGAAATGCCAGTCCATGTGTCTTTTTATTGAGTAATTCTTTTGAGAATTGTTGCTACTGTATCAATCTTAGAAGTTTGATAAGAAAATTCTATATGAGAGTGCTTTGTCTGATGATCATTGCTTAACTTCAATCTCTTCATTGTTTTCTGGTGATCCTTGAGATAATTTCTTGTGATATACATATCTGAGACTAATGAAAGTATGTTGATTTTGTACAGGTCGAACAATTGCATAAAATTTTCAAGCTCTGTGGGTCCCCACCTGACGATTATTGGAAAAAATCCAGACTTCCTCATGCAACTTTATTCAAACCACAACAACCTTATGATAGTAGTCTTCGGGAGACTTTTAAAGATTTATCAGCAACTGCTGTGAACCTAATAGAAACTTTGCTTTCAGTGGAGCCATACAAGCGTGGGACTGCTTCCTCTGCTCTTGCATCAGAGGTAATTATGCCAAATAGCACCATTAACATTTCTCATGCAAAACTGTAACTTCTTGTTAACCCTTATTAAGCATCTAATCTGATAGGTTTAGTACTTCAACTTAAATATTAGGCCACCACAATCGCCGAATTTAAGTAAAAACTTAGAATGACACCACTAAACACCCTTACATTTAGGTCCAGTGCTAAAAATTGAAACAAATGCCCTCGCCATGGACAAGAAATTTGGGGCAACAAACAAATTATTTAACAGATAGGGCAACTTTGAAGCAGGGAATGTCCCTCTTCGTGTCTATGGAAATGGCTGCGACATGGATGGCCCTAATATGGTTGGATGTGTATCAGACATAATGAGACACCATACAAAAAGATCCAGGTAAGGGAAGATGTAATGAGGACATTAAAACAGCACAGGAGAAGTGCTTTTCTCTCATCATTTGGCTGGGCCTTGGGTGATTTCTGGCAGCAGTGGCTGATTCCAAGAATGAAATGGATGGAGAATTGGAACTTCTTGTTACTGTGTTAAGGAGAATAGAGAGAAGAGATGGGGAGGTTTGATAGAGAGAAAGTATCTGACAGAAGAGGGAGAAAGAGACTATGCTATTAAGGGGGTGGCTACGACAGAGAAGAGTTTACTGGTCTAAGGGTGTGCGTTGTAAATTTATTTCGGAGGGATGAACATTACAAATGCAATATCCAGTGTTATAAACATGCTTGTGCAAATCTTGTACTTATTAGCTTTATTTCCCTCATTTTCAATATTCTGATTCTTAATCTACAATTTTCAGTATTTCACAACAAAGCCTTATGCATGTGATCCATCAAGCTTGCCAGTATATCCACCTAGCAAAGAGATTGATGCAAAACATCGTGAAGAAGCAAAGCGGTGAGAACTTTAATAAAAATATGCTTATGGAGACATTAATTTAGGTAGCTTTCTGGAACCTGGATCAATGCTAAGTCCATCTGCATTGAATTTTAATTACTGTGGCATTCCACTCAATATTTTCCCAATATTTCAATCTTTTTTTCTTTTCAGCTAGATGTCCTATCAAAATTAGGTCATTCTATGTATTTTGGAAGGTATCATATCATTTAAATGAACAAGCCGGCTCCTTGTATTCACCTGAATGTTCATATTCAAGGATAAATATCTAACGGAAAGTATTATCGTTTAGTTTCTAAGATAGCTCCCCCAATTATTGAAAATTTCCAGACAAAATAATTTGGTTCCATGAAACGTTGAAATGCTCAAATGATGTTTGTGTACCTCATCTTTTTCTTTTTCTGAGGTTTTAGAAAGTATGTGGTAAACTCATGCATGTTATACACCTTACACAATGATGATCATCTGCAAATTCCACCATATACCCACATATTTAACCACTTAACACTGTTTAACATCATCTTCAATGAATAAACTGCAATGAATTCTCAGGAAAAAGATAAGTGGAAGAGTTCGCAGGCCTGAAACAAGAAAGCCAATAATAAAACCCCATGGCATAAGTAAATTGGCACCAGTTGAGGTCTATCTATCTCTCTCCCTCTCTCTCTCTCTTCCCTGTCACCCTATATTTATATTTATGGTTATCCGGAAAACTAATTTTCTATATTTCTTTTACATGCAGGATGCTGTTGCACAAACTCAAGTTTCTCAGAAAATTAATGGTAACCATGTCCATAACTCAAAGCAAAGAAATGCCACTATCAGTGAGGGAGTGTCAAACCCATCTACTGATGCACTAGAAGAGGCTACCCATGTAAAGCATGCATCCCAAGGTGATATTCCTTTCTCTGGTCCATTACAAGTTTCTACATCAAGTGGCTTTGCATGGGCCAAAAGACGAAAAGATGATGCATCCATAATATCATACAGCAGATCTATCTCAAGAGGTCACATTTACAATTCTTTAGATCCTTCTGCTCAATTACATACACAAAATAATTTTGATTCAAAACGACATGAAAATGGGGATGCAATATATGGAGGTCGCACTGATTCTAGAGGCCATGATTCATGTGAATCTGCCAAGCATGCTACGCAGAAACAATGGAGCCAGTTCGAGCGCCCAGATTCATTTGATGCTTCTGATGAATACCACTCACAAGAGCTATCATTGGCACTTTATCAAAGAGAGGAAATGGCAGCCAAGAGAAATAATTTGGTATGTCTGTAAATATTAGAACCAGAAATTACATCAAAATTTTGTTCTTGACATCTAATTTAAACTTCTTTTGCAGATCATGTGGCATCAATTATTCAGTTGGAATTCAATATTGCATGAAGAATTATGTAAATCATCTCGATTTATTTCAGTTCGATATAAAACTAAAAAATGGATACTTTAATAAAATTTCAAACCTTGAAGGGCTGAAAATAATTACTTCCTTGAACTTGGTCTACTACAGCAGATGAGTTCCATCCATTTAGGTTTATCATTTCTTTCAATGCTACTAAGTGCAGTGTCAGTTTTAAGGAGAAACCATGGTCTTGTTATTCCTTTCTCTGGTTTTTTTTTTTTTTGTTCATTTTTTGGTGACAAATTTTGTTATGAAATTTAATTAGTCTATCTCTGAAACTAAAAGTAGAAAAAGAATGTTGGATAACTGTATTGAACTTCAATAATTGGAGGCTTGTCAAGTTTAGGTTTGGCCTTTAATGGTAGCCACTACATTACTGAATTGAGGTAATTGGCATGCAAGTGTAACTTGACTATTTTGAAAATGTTATTTTAAATAAATGGAAGCATCAATTTTTTCCATAAATTTTCTAGTTTTAAAATTTTCCTCGCCAAAATAAAACAGGAAACTGCCTTTCATACCTAGCAGAGAGAGAGAAAAAGAAGAATGTGACTTTTGTAAATGCAGTTCTCTTTATTTTTTCTGTTAAAACTAAAAGAATAAAGAAAAAAACCCTATTTCTATCTATGCCCCTAAACTCAAATCAGTCGATATTATCACATCAATTTCATTAGAATATCTGTATTGATCAAATTATGTATTGTTGTTCTGACAGGTTTACCAAGATGAAGGGGACAAGGTTGAATTTTCAGGTCCTTTGTTGTCTCAATCACACACAGTTGATGAACTCTTAGAACGTCATGAACGGCAGATTCGCCAAGCAATTCGAAAGTCATGGTTCCGAAGAGGTATAACAATAACAACAGAAGCAACTTTGCTACTAATCTCTTTTTATTTAATATAAATGATTTCTGTTGCCAACCACCTTAGTTTAGTGCCTGCCTTTTGAGCCCTGTTGCCCTTGTAGTTTGTTGGCTTTATGAATTACTTGAAATTTATATGCAATTGATTTCAGTCCATTAAATGAATAAAGTGTGACACAATTAACTGTGTGTGGGAACAAAACCTGGTTAGACAATTATTTACATTTATGGTGGCTATTATTGGTGTTTTAACTTACAATTCTTCTCAACCACTTTATGGTGATTTATTATTTAAAGCAACCATAAGATAGAACTTGATTAATGACGAAAGCTGTAGATATGCACAAGGCTTTCGCCTTTCACCCTGCAAAATTATTTCTCAGTAAGTTGATGTTATTGAACAAGATTATACAAGCCAACATTGACTTATACTAGTAATTTGTATTGCAGGTAGAAAACATGGGAAGTAATCTTCAGATATTGTCAGGTCTAAGGGCTCAGTGGCAGTAAGGCATTGATTCAGGATCCTACACTCCAAGAAAAAAAGTGATAAGTCGGCTGCCAATGCCATGCCCATCAATCATACCAATAACAACATCAAGTTGAAGCTTCTGCACAAAAGTGGTGAAGAACAAAACTGGGAAACTACAATATGATGGTACGGCTGCATGTTACAATTCATAGAGCTTTAAGGGAAGAGGAAAGGAAGATGGCCATGGGTGGCTGGTCGGTCTCCTTCTGCAAAGAACCATGATTTCATTTTTTAACCTTCCAATCGAAGTTTTCTACTCACTTCCTTTTTGTTTCCTTACTTTCTCATCATCAAGACTGATCTTATCATGTATAGGTTCATAGCAATTGATTGTGAGAACTATTGTGTATTTTGATCATGATTCATAAAGCTTATCAATGTCTGGCTTCTCTCTTTTCTGATATATATAGTTCAGTGTTTCTTTGGTAGTTCTTTAGGTCTTTTGTCAAGCAATGAATTTTGGAAATGTCTAATGTCAGGAGTCAGGACAAGTCATAGCCACACAGGGTTATGACATTACCTAAAAAACCCATCCTGTTTGATTCCAGTGGCTGTGAAATCATGAGTTTTGTCCAAAACAAAGGATAAACTAAACCAATAATTAGAATATGATAATTTATTTATTGATCAAAATTATATTTTTTAAAAATTTATATAATTTAAATTATTAATATAATTTTTAAAAGTATAATAAAATATGTAAATTTAATCTTATGAATTAAAAAAATTTTTTTTAATTTTGAGAAGATTGAATCATTTTATATAAAAAAATTAATTTTTTTTATAATTTTATTTTTTATTTAAATATAAATTAAATATAATTATCCTTTTATCTTATTAATTATCTCGTATACCAATCATGATTAGGAGAAATTTTATATGCACAATCCATGGTTCCTATCTCTTACTTTTTATTTGTTTTTTCTGTTTTGTTTAAACACCCGCAATTGTTAGCTGTTACTCGCACGTAGTAGCAATTGCTCCAAAGCAGTTGATACATGCAAGTGTACGTGTCAGGTTTGAAGATCGAGATTTTATAAGTTCATATTATTTTAAAATAAAATTTTAAAATAATATAAAATCTTTTTTTATAATCACTGAATTTCTGAAGATTTAAATTTGGTTGAATTATGATATGAGATTCATTTTCAGTCAATATTAGAATTCAGAAGCAAAGGGCATCGGATAATTTGAACTGGGAGCAAAGAGATTGTCAAAAAGTGAGGATGAGTAGGAATGTAATCGAGTCGAATCGAATTGATATAGTAAAAAGTTCGAGCTCGAGTTCAGCTCCCAACTCGAGGCTTAATATTCGGTTCAAATTCGATCAAATTTTATTTTTTTAGTTCGAGCTCGATTTGTGATTAAAATTGAGCTACTTGAACTCGCTCAATTAAGCTTGATTAATATGTTAAAATAAAATCGATTCTTATATTCGACAAGAGTTTGATTATTTGTGCTCGAACTCGAATTTGAGATATTTTATTAATTAAAATAATAAAAAAAAATTTAAATATAAAAGTTCAATTATGCTCGCGAACTACTTAAGCCGGGTACAAAAATATTCGAATTCGACTCGATCGATAAGTCGAGCTACTCGAGCTCTAGCTCGACTCGATAATAATCGAACCAAATTCAAATTTTATTTGAATCAAATCTGAATAACTTACGAATACAATATATCATTTATATCTCTAGGGATGATATATTACGAATAATGATTCTTAAAAATTTTTTTACATAAGATGGTTTTTCTTAATATTATCAAAGTATTAAAATATTTTTAATAAATTTTCAATATGTAATGTTCATATTCATTTTTCAAGCATACTAAAAAATTAAAAATTTATTTTTAAAAAAATTAAAAAAATTAAATTTTAAATATTAAAATTAAGATCATTTTAGTTATTATTAAGAGCTAACACATAATTATTTAGTATCATTTTCAAATAGGGTGTCGTTGAGATACTAATTTTTTTTCACGTATAATTGACTTCGAACTCAAATTGTTTGGTTGACCCAAAATTATTTTTTTGATAAAGTTTTAATTAATTTTAAATTTTTATTAAAATGATAAGTTTTAATAGGAAAGTCAATCACATTTAAATCAAAAAAAGATTAGTGATGACTTCTTTTTGTTTTCGAATTCATATAACGACCCCTCAAAACCATTAAGACATAATGATTTTTAAATTATAATAAAATATTAAATATGATATTTAAATTTAAAAAATTTTATATGATATTTGAATTATAAATTTATTAATTAAATAATTTTTATTTTTAATATGACTAGATATAATAATGACATACAATGGATAAATAATCATTTTAAGTACTACATTAATTAATAAATTTATATGTCAAATATTACATTTAAAATTTTTAAAATTTAAATATCATATTAAATAATTCAATATAATTTAAATGTCATTAATAATATCAACCTTTTTTTTTCAAATTCTATTGTGAATCTTTGTATTCCATGCGGTTGGTACAATCCTATTTTAAGAATAAATACAGAGTAGAAAAATATTTAATATTTTGTTTTAAATTGAAACTTAAAAACTATACAAAGCATAACTCCTCTCACTTGGGAGTGAATTGGAAAAAATAATTTGAAAATCATATATATAAATTGATTAATTTAAATAATTAAACATGGCTAATGATGGTATAATTTATTGGAAGAATTCTACAATTTTAATTTTAATAATTAAAATTTAATATTTTATGGCTTCAAATATATATTTAAATATGAAATATGAGAATTTGATCTCTTATGACTTTAAGTATATCAATTAAATATGAAAGATTATAAAGTAAAAAAAAATGAAAAATGTAAATAATAATCAATTTCCCTTTCCTATGCTTAAAAATTAGGTGAGTCCTCTCTTCCATTAAGGTTAACATAATTACTTCACCACAAAACAAATGATGATGGCAATCTCACAACTTAGAGTTTCATAAATTGAAAATTGATGGGCATTTATGTTTTTCTTAGGGTTCGATTTTAAAAATGACGTGATAAGAATAATTTTACGGATTAACAATTAATATTTATTTTTTTATTAAACATTCAACTCTAAAACGACATAATAACGTGAAAGAAGTCTATTTCATTAAGGGTAATCTTAATTTAGACTTTTTGAAATTCTAATTTTTTTCATTCTGGATTTTGATTCAACCTTTTAAAATTTACATTTGATTTCGATATGATATAATAATAAAATATTATTTTTCGTATATAACTTGTATATTCATAAATTACAATTAACCCAAATCAAAATTAATTTAATAATTTTAATTTAATATAATATTTATAAAATAATATTTTTAATATAAATTTTATCTTAATTATATATAAATGTAATATCTTTATTAAGTTAATATATTAAATTAAAGTATTAAATAATAATTTTATTAATAAAATATAAATATATAAATATAAAATTAAATAAATAATAAAAAATATTCTTATATATATTCGAATCAGATAAGAATGGTGATACCTAAAATTTGACTTTGATTTGAATTCAACTTAAAAAAAATTAAATTGTCTCTAATTTGACATTCGATTTCATAAAAATTTTAATATTATCGAATCGAGATAAATCGAAATTCATTATATACGGATTATTTTATGAGTTTATAATTTTTAGTGTCTCCCACGCATCGTCTTTATAAAATTCCCACCGTCCATCACGTTGACTTTGTGCTTATTAGTTGACTGATAGGTGGGACCCAGGCACGAGGATCCTGATCTGCAAAATCCAGCCAAGCATGAGGAGCACCAGAATTCTTGAACTGTTATGTAATATAATGTGATTTGATTAGAGCTGTAATCGAATCGAATCGAGTTGATATAATGAAAAGTTTGAGCTCGATTTATAACTCTGAACTCAATATTCGGTTCAAATTTGATTGAATTTTATTTGTTAAACTCGAACTCGATTCGTGATCGAATTCGAACTATTCGAGTTCGCTCGATTAAGCTCAATTAATATATAAAAATAAATTCGATTCGTATACTCGATAAAAGTTCGATTATTTATGCTCGAACTCGAACTTGAAATATTTTATTAATTAAAATAATAAAAATATATTTAAATATAAAAGTTCGATTAAGCTCATGAGTTATTTGAGACGATATAAGAATATTCGAATTCGACTCTATCGATAAGTCGAGCTATTCGAGTTCGAATTCGACTCGATAATAATCGAATCGAATTCAAATTTTTTTCGAATCAAATTCGAGTAATTTTCGAGTATTAATGTATCATTTACACCTCTAAATTTAATTAGAAGGAATTATTGTTGGGATTATCGCAAAACAACTTGTTAATTATGTGGTCAAGCTATCATTTCCACCTCTGATTATTATTAATGTAAAGAAGGGAAATTTTCTTCCTTCGCTGGCTTTAACGGTGTTCTCAATTAAAATCACATGTGACGCACGTGAATATGAATTATTTACTATTTTCTTAAGCCTTTTTTAAATGTTAATGTAGTATTAATTTTAAGCCCTTGTTAAGTATTTATTCTTGGATTAATTGATATATCATTAAAATTAATATTTAAAAATTATAAATTTTTTAAAAAAATTTAAACGTGTAATATTTTTTTAATTAATTAAATATAACGATAAAAAGTTAAACTTCAGTATTTAACTATACCCTTTTTTATATGCTAATTTGCAATTACAACAAGGGAAGTCACAATAAAATTACTGCAACAATTTGATTGAAAATTTAAATGCTGTTGCAAATTACTCAGACGGGCTCTAAATTTTTCATTTTTCTACCCTAAATGGCTTTAAGTAGATTTGATAATTTTAAAAATAATATGATAATAAAATATAAAAATAAAAAATATATGAATGTAACATGATTTAAAATTTTAATAAAAATTATATATAAATTTGATAAAAATAAAATATATATTTTATATTTATTATATTAATAAAAATAATAATATAATAGTTTTGTATATATTTAATATAAAGTAAATGCAAATAAGTTTAAATGATATAAACTTTGAATTATAATTAAAAAATTATTCAAATTCTTTTTTTATTATAATCAATTAATTACTTTAATATTTATTTGCATATAGTTAAATCTTTATTTAGATAAAAAATTAATCTTATTAATTTTTTAATCAACTAAAATGTTATAAATTTTAGTTATAAATTTTGACAATAATATAATTTATTGCCGAAAAGAAGAAGAGAAGAAAATTACTACTAATTTGAAAAAGAAAAGAGAAAAAGAGAGCGTGAAAGATATAAAACAAATAATTAATAAATATTTAAGTAAATTTATTAAAAATTAAATTTATAATAAAATTTTAAAAATATATTGAATAGTTTTTGCAAATAGAACCCTTCTAATTTTAACAGCGGGACTCAAACAAAACGCATCGCATGCGATCCCAAAA